ACCAAATCCAATTTCATTATGCAGAAACACTGACGTATTCCATCTGGGGCATCAAATTGTTCAGACTGTCCAGTAAGGACTAATGATGGTGCCATACCAAAGGATTAGCATGCTACATTGCAGTGGTGATTCATGTTAAGCATTTTCTTAGTATGTATGGCTGGATCCCAGATATCATATCTCAAAATGCCACTGTGCCTGCTTTTTGGAAGAAAATTAAATGTATTATTGCAGCATTATGGAAGTGCTGTGAGGCACAAAACTGAATAATAGAAAGGTGTTTTTCGAAGACAAGATTATTTATGACTTCAAGTCAAAAATCATGGAGTAGTATTATGCTGCAATTACCAAACCCTGGCAGAAGCCACCCAGAGGCACAGTCACAGACTGCAGAACTGCTCTTGAGTCCTGCAAAAAATGTGTGTGGGGGTGTGCAAATGAAGTGTAAATAAATGCATCCTATATAGCTAACATTTAGGAAATGTGAAAATTCTGCCAGGCACAATTCTTCATGTTGGTTGGCAGCATCCATTGTCAGTTATTATTCAGCACTTGAACATCTTATTCTACTCAAAATCCAGGGGTCTGTGTCATGTTGTGCTTCAGTAGGAATGTCCAGAACCCTAAAGATGTGGCCTATTGACAAGAGCAGCCTTACTAATGATCAATGAAGTTCTATAAGTCTAAGTACCTTTGTCCCATCCTTCTGTTTTTCAAAAGCAGATGTCATTTTTCTCAGCTCTTCCAGAAAAACATCAGCCTACCAAATTGCAGTTAATGATAGACTTAATTGCAAATAAGTAGAAGTCATATTTCCCTGATCATGATTTGTTTCTCAAAAAGGACTTTTCTCTTTTCTTAAGTTGGAAATTCTTCATATTCTCACCATGCTGAGTTAGCACTGTGCCATATAAAACCAGCAGACCCAGTGCCATATGCTGTATGCTAAAAGCAAGCAGCCTATAGGTGGATGTCTTTTCCTGCCACAGCGCACAAAGCTGTGCACTTTAGGAGATGAGAGAGAAGTCCCCACACAACAGTTACTATAAGAAGTATATGCCCTCAGTGGTAACAATCATTGGGGTATTTTTCAACACGTCACCTCTAAAAGAACACTTCAGAACAATTCAGTATTTGGTGGGAAGTCCACAGTGATGCATGCATTCCAACAGGAGCAGGACTACTCATGCATCTTCCACATCGGCTATTCTATTCCACATGGTCAACATATTAGATATAGACCTGGGATAGTCAGATTTTTCCAGTGAAAAAAAATCTTATGTTACAGCACATGACCACCAGAAGCTCTCATCTTGACAGATAAGCAGGTCAGCATCCAACTGCATAACGCTGACTTGTGCCAGTACCTGCTGGATACTTGTACAGCAGAAGAAATTTTGGCATCTGTTAAACCAGACCAAAAAAAAAAAAAAAATTAATGAGCTGAATTAAGTTCACCAAAAACAGCATTTTTGGGGTCTCTTATCTGTGTGCTGGCTGGCTCCCACTCACCACAAGAACTGAGTGGCAGTGCCCACATCTTGCTGCTGGGGAGCTCTAAGGCTTCCTGATTCAATACAATTTTCCAAAAGCTACAAAGAAACTTCTTTATATTCAGACCACAGTAAATCATGGAGTATTTGACTTCTCCATTAGCATTGTGAATAAATATGGAATAAAAATTACTACGTGAAGACTGTTGAATGCTCTCTAAAATTATACCAAATGATTAACCAAACATTACCAGGTTGCACCTATATCCCACGTCCTGCCCTCTGCAGTACACATGAACAGCATCCACAAGAGCTGAGATTTTAATGCAATAAAGTATGTAATTCTAAGAGGCTGCTCTTGTACTTAAAGCTGAGTATGTGGTTGAGTGTGATTTGGATCAGGGCCTATCTTTTTGGAGAAAATAAATTAAGAAGCAGCCTAAACTAGCTTTAATCCTCAGGGTATACATCTGAAGATATGAGGATCATGAAGAGCTGTTTGTGCAGCAAGTGCTGGAAGGACAAAATCCTGTTTCCTGTAATGACAGAGTAGTATCTCGTGCACTCTTGAATGACTCCTCTTCGGATACTGCCATGGTTATTTACCTTGGATTGGCTTCACCCAGTGTGGGAATCAAATGTTGCTTCTGCATTAGAACAAGATTTTTTATTTCATGGTCTCCACCACCATAGTTCTTTCTGGGAGTCTTTTTACTTTACGTAGGGAGAGGTCTCTGATAGTTTGCATTCCCTATCCTCTTGATGAATCTTCCCCAGGAATGCATGTTCAGTATATACATGAAGTAATTTAAAATCATAGAGATTAGGTAGTAGGTTATGGGCACAAAGACTGCAGGTCCTGTCTGTCCAGCCTTCTGAAACACCTCTGAGCCTTACTGATATTTGGTACTGGCAGGCAGGACCCGAGTAATGGAGAATTTAAGAAAGAGAAGATAATTAGCAATAAACTTGTATAGCTAGCAACAATTTATGTCTAGTCAGCATGAATATATATGTAGTTTTTTGTCACACACATTGCAAGAAAATCCTGCACAAGATTGATCAAACCAGAGAACAAGTCATGATGTGCCCAAGGAAGCCCTGAAGAGGCATTGGGAAGGCCTGACATCACTCCCCTTCGTGCTCTTTGTTTAACAAAGGAAGCAGCCTTTGGGCAGAATGGAAGAAACTTTGGAGAGGACCACCATATCACTGTGATAAGGAGAGTACTGAGACGTCTTGGAAACAGGATGGCGACTGACTGGCACAAGACAGCACATGAATCAACAAGTGTTAGAATGTAATTAACAAATGTAAGTCTTTGGTAAGATTGTGAATCTGGAGTACCCAGCCAATGGGAAAACAGGGGAGGGGATAGGCATGGGGGCACAAGGCACAAAAGCTGTACTACTGCGCCCATAGGTGTGCTCCAGCTTGTGAGAAGCCTGCCATTGCAATTGCAAATAAAATCTGTTTTATCAGAGATACTGCCATGACGAAATTATTTGGATATTCCCAACACCAGTTACAAGAATTCATCCAAAATGTTGTTGATTTCATTGGATATTCTTTAACAAAAACACTAATATGACATTAAGTACTGTTTGTGGCTATGACAGCTGGACTAGATGATCTTAGCTGTCTTTTCCAACCTTGCTCTATGATTCTATGAACACTTCTTATTAAACTGGAGTATCAGCAGAAGATTAATTATAGCAGCATGTTTTGATTATTGACTAAATCAAAAACTGGGTACTGTTTGACAGAAAGCATTCACTATACATTGTTGGGAATTGACTGATATCCAGGCTGAAGTAGCACTGAATGTAAGGAGGAAATGATAGAAGTATCTTTCCTTGCACATGTAAAATAGAAATGTTTCTGTACAGCTCTTCTTTAATTTATGTAAAAGGAAGAGGATAGTTAGCAGTGCAAAACACTGTATTCTGTACACTGAAAAGAACTTCTCAGTGTAGAATAGTGTAGAATCCCCTCCCTTTTTTTTTTCTTTTTCTTTTTTTTTTTTTTAAACATTGTGGGGTGTTTTTTCTGTTTTTCTTTTTTTTTTCCCCTCCCTCAAGTAAGCTCTGTCTAAAAAATTACCTAAGCACTGTTTTGTGGGGAAAAAAAAAAATAAAAAAAAATCCTTTCTTCTTCCAAAATTCTTTCTCCCTGGTCTGAAAGATACATAATGTATAAGTTATATATAAACATTTTCATTGAGGAGGCTGTTTGTGCAGTCCACAGATCTAATTATCCAAACTGAGCCAAAAATAAAGGGGTAGAATTCAATAAGTTAGAAAATCACATGCAGACAGGGAATAGCAGGTAAGAAAGGACATAGAAGGCTGTTAAGCAGTTTTCCAAAGTAAATAGCCTAGATCCAACTGAGTGCTGAAGATTTTGAAAGTTCAGAGGTAGCTTTCCCAGCAGAACCAATATTTGGCACTACTGAGTTATAAAAACAGACAGCAAGATTTCCGATACACGCCACTGTTTCACATTAACTGCTTACATACATCTCACAGCCTTCAGCTCTTCACTGTCTTTGACACTAGGATGTAAGTAACATAAAAGGGAGTACTGGTGTTTACCACAATTCCATTTTCAGGAACACAACACTGTTCTCACCTCTCAAAAAATGAAGGCTGTTCCCTAATCTCCCTCAAGAAGTCCAATAATGGGTTCCATCTCAAAGCAACAACATCACCACCAAAAACAAAAAACAAGAAATAATTCAAACACAAAATGTTTCATAAGAAGTCAAATAAAAGTCACCTTAAATTCATACTGGAAAAAACACATTCAGTGATTTGACATCTATGTATGTTAACTAACTTAATCTAACCATCAGAACCAAAAATTGGGCATAAAAATACAGAGTTTTCTTCAGCTCAAAGTTAGTTTGAGCTCTGTAGATTTTAAAGCACTGTGACTGAACAATTTCAAGGCTGATATCAAGTGCAGAATTAGCTATAGCACAGTCTCATGACCCCACAACCTGCACAGTATATTTTGTTCAACTGAGGACAGTACAAATCTCGCACCAATTCAATTACTTTTTCCGTACTCCCAGCAAATGCAGACTAATGGACAGAAAATTGTATTCATTGATTACAATGTAAAAACCTCTGTCTCACATAAAGAGATGGTAAGATAAAATAAATCTAATTCACATATTTCTGTGAAAGCATTTATATAGGTGCAGTTATTTTGGATGAAGAATGTCTCATCATTAAGTTTATGGGAAGAACAGCCAAGACTTTTTTGTTCTCATCACATCAACAGATATTTGGGCAAGCAAAAATCATTAAGAGCAAACGATGACAATCAAATTAAATAGAAATTTTCTGTGATGCATTTTTCTGGTTTTTACATTTACTCTAATTCTTACAGCTAGTTACTCTCAATTTGCTACAGACATTAGTTTTTTTTTCTATTAGCATAAATGTAAAAGTAAAGTACAAGTGTATACTGTACCTTGTTTTACCTGTAAGGAACACACACCTGACAAAAGGCAATCTTCACATCCAGGGTAGGTTCACCACAATAGTACAACAAATGGCGGCTCATAAATACCTACAATTAAAAAGAAAATAAACATATAAATTTGTATGCTTGCTAACATACCAGTACAGAACAGTTAGATGTGCATTTGGGTCATGAAGCCACCCTCAGTTACTACCCAGCTCTTGAAAAGAACAAATTGCTTAGAACATTGTTGGGAATGAGCTTTAATGTCATTCTAACACTCACCAATGCAACAGCTTCCAACGGGGTTTGCTTACGTCAGGAAGAGTTTTAGAGTAACAGAAACCGTTAGCCCAAATTTTCTCTTGTCACTTGTATGTTCCTATAGTCTCACCAAATTCAAGTCAGCAGGTTGTATACAGTACAGGAGTGAGAAATAGTGTTGTGGGGAAGAAAGGAACAACCTCTAAGTTGCCAGTTACTAGGAAAATCAGAGAAGACAGAGAAACTAATAATTTCTCTGAGTAAGTTCACGGCCTACCACTTCATGAACAGTACACGTAGTTCTGCTCCTCATCTTAACATCTTACAACTCGGAAAGATGCAGAAAAGAGCAGGAACAATGCTCCAAAGCAGACACGAAACAATGGCATGGACAGATCTTTTTTAGTAAGAGAACTAACACAGCCTATGCTGGAGATCCACCAAACAAGTGGCACAGCAGCAGCAAGAAGCAGAACATTTCTTTTTCATTTTAAAGTAGACACAGTCTGGCATCAAATTAAGTTGTCAAGTACCAGCTTAGTATTACTATAAGGAAATAGTTCTTCACCTTCTGTTTCTTGAGACTGTAAAGCTTCCTGCCTCAAAGTGCTGTGGATGTCTGAATCAACTTCAGTTTTTATACACTGAGACAAATTCACACAATATGCCTTCTGAATCTATTTACCTCAAAACTATCACCTCAAATTCAAGGCAATCCCAGCCTACTGTCTGCCACTATGTGCTCAGCCCACTGTTGTGCACTATCACAGCACTTGATAGTGGCCAACGAGGCCATATACTGGCCTAGACAAAGCTATGTAACACATTATAGCTCTTCAAACATTTTAAATTCCATAGCATCGCACTCAGCTCTGACCAATCAAAGCTTTCAATGTTGCATTCTCACATGGGAAATAATGTACAGAGATGTTATCAGGGAGCTACATCACAAGCCATTGGAGCATATTGATTTTCCACTTCAAAAAATAAAAAACAACCCCACTTTAAAATCACAATTGGAAACCCGCAACTTCTAGTGAAAAAGAGATGAATAATATAGAAGTCACAATTTTCTTACAAATATAAACTCATTACAGTAGCTAAAAATGCATCCATTACTCCATTAAGACATAATTCTGAAACTGAATCCCCATCTGTAGGGCCCCTCTGACGTACACTGCTCTGTTATAGGAATTATAGCTAACTGTAACAGTAGATACTCCCAAATAAAACAAAAACAAAGACTGGAGCAACTTCAACTCTCAAAAAGTTAAGAAACAACAAGAAAGTATTCACCGATATCTGCAAACTTGAAAACATCATGTATCCTGTGTGTTTAATTTTTAATGAATGAATGAATAACACTGTTATGAAAGCAAGCACAAGACCTTTCTGCTTCACATTACAGTGTCTGAGACTGCTGCCTCATTGCCCAGTGAGTCACTGCTGGAGCCTCACATCCCACAGAGGGTTTGTGTTAGAGCAAGAGGAAGAAACATACTTTTTTTTTTTTTTTAATAAGAAATAATTAAGAAAAAAGCTTTTAACACGAGTCATATGCTCAGTGACTTGTGGAAAGCCAGTAGATAATCACAGTCCCACACTGTAGATATATGCTCTATGAAATCCTATTGGCTGGATGTACAATACTGCTCCAATAATCAATAACTGAGATGTCATTAGTCAAAACACACCATATTCCACACAGTCTAACAATGGAAAGTGAAGAAAATAAGGGAGGGAAACCCAGTTCCTCACTGAATCTACTGTAAAGTTCTGCTGAGAGGATGAATTCTGCCCTGCATATGCATTATGACTCATACATGGCCCCTCTGCTTCCCACCAGAATGACAATAGTAATCCAGAACAGGGTAATAAACTGGTAACATTTATGAGCTGGAAGACGTTTAACTATTCATTATGTTGTCCCTGCATGCAGCTACTGCTGTAAAAATGATAGAAGTATGATACGTTTCGTTGGCATGGATCGATAATCATGTTCCTCTGTACAAAAGGTAGATCTAATGGCTCACATGGCCAAGAATGAGAATAACTCATTTTTGGGTTGTAAGACTGCACACCCAGAGCAAAAGAGACTTGAGTTCTCCACAGTGAATGTCTTTGTACATGGAACTTCAAGGAAATTTCCTTTGATGTTTTGTACGTATTTACATGTAACTTCTAGTTTCTTAACACAAAAATACATTCACATTTTAACTACCCTTGATCATACCTTGCCCACATATCAGATGAGGCAAAGTAAAGCAAATCAAGGTGTGATGCCGGGATAAGCACAGCACAAAGCAAATATCACGGAAGAAGCTACTTAGAAACAACTGCATGTGCTGCATGCTGGGATCTGAGTGTTTGGTGAGAGCATGAGTACCCAGTATCTCTACAGCCCTACTTTTGATTCTTTGTTTTCTGCCTTGAGCAAAATTATCCAAGGGGGTTGAACTGAACAGTGTTGATGCTACAAGACATCTTGAGACAACCACAGCTGGAATGAAGCTGAGTAGCTAGAGATCACAGCAGCAGAACAGGGAGAAAATATGTCTGTGAATCAGCAATAACAGCATAATATCTCACATTTTCATTGGGATCAAATTAGTTGTATGTCAGAACCTGTAAGGGCATTCAGCTCTCAGCAGAAAAAGTACCACGATCTAGTTTCAAAAAAATCCAAAGGTGGCACTAAAAATGTAGGATGGAAGTTGAAGAGGGCACATTTAAGGAAGTGACTGCCTGTACTTGAAACATGAGATAGGTTGGTTTTGTGAATTTGCCAGCTCAGAAGTTTACTTTGATCTTACTTCCCTATACTTTAGCTTACTCAGACCAAGGATAAAAAAATAGATTGGAGGTGACTACCTACTAATAACAAAAAGCCAAACTTTTATTTTACTTAATTTTACTTCTTTTAGATATACATAGACAAAACATATAACATGACAACAGCAGAGGCTTGCTGAAAGACCTGCTTTCTCCTAAAATCCAAAGAGAAGTTCTCATAGAATAAAGGCAGCATCTTTGCTTTCGGAGTCACACATCTTCCCTTCACCAAAGGCAAGCATCTTCATCTTTCTTCACAATGAACAAACACACATGGTAGTAGAATGTGTCTTCTGACTGCTCTCCTGCCAACAGCTCCTCTTCCAAAGCAAGTGGGCCTGTGATATGCCCAACATTCAGCCAGAAACTTTCCCTTTTCATTTTTCTACCACACCCATCTCTTCTGGAGAAGGATTGCTTCTTTCTAAAGAGGAATAACTCACTATTATTCCAAAACTCTTGGAAAAGTGATGGGATTAAATCAATAATATTAGTATAATAGCTGAGAGCAGAGAGGAAGCAGGGTGATGACAGCAGACAAAGCAAAGTAGAAGGACAACAGCAGTTCCAGCTCTCCCACATGTCCTCCCTGAGCTGAATCTTCCTGCTGCTCCCTGAGCTCCTTCCTCTTCTGACAGCTATGTGATGTTGATGAATGGTTTTGGGCAGTCTGGCTCCTAGCCTTTTGGCCTTGTCAGCATTTTTTCATCCCCACGCTGGATTTAGTTGACATTAACTAACTTCTGGATCATACAAGATCTTCTGCTTGCTGTAGGTCTGTGAAGTGCTGACTTTGCTATATGGTCCTAGGAGCATCTCAGCACATGCTGTGTTGTCTATCAGCTTCTCTTCTCACCCATCCTTCACAAGATCTTGGGTCTCAAAAAAGCATCACAGGTACTCTTCAGGGAGCCTCTCTCCATGGCTACTTCATGTCTCCTCATTAAGAGGCAACTTCCTTCTTCCCAGTGGACATCAACCTTGACCTGTCAAAGCATACTTAAGTCTTCCTGTGACAAATCTGAAAAACCCACTTGGAGCCTTATGACATTTCCATACAGTTTCTTAATTCAGAGAGACCAAGGAGCCAATTCACGGTGGTACCACTTGCCTCAGAACAGCCACGTGGGCAGGGTTCTCACCGCACAAAAAGTCAAAGCCTTTGGGTCAAACACAGCAACCAGAGACGTAATTGGGACCTTGAAGTGAGATGCTGCAGCTGTTGGATGCATTTAAACTAGTGCTGATAGTGTTCACAAATAAAGTAAGTGCTCATCCCAGCCCGGTGCTTTCCTTACCAACTTCCACTTCCCTAAGGCTGTTCTGTTAGAAATGTTCATGTCCTACAGTACAGAGAAGGTAACAATTCCTTCACACTGCAATTTTGTAAACATCCTCATGTGGAAAAAAAAGTTACTAATATCCAATTTAAACATAAATCAACTGCAGCTGAAGAGATCATCCACAGAATTGCTTGCATAAAACATGGCTGGATTAACACATGGCAAGGCATAGCTGCAAGCAGAAAGACTTCAACAGAATTACAGAACAACTCCAACCAATAAGCTAGAAATCATTTCCAGCCCCATCCAATGTGATAATCTTAGCAATACATGGAAATGATATATTCATATAAAGAACCAAGCCCATCATTTTCTCATTATTTGGCATTACCGAACGGATAGACCATGTGTGTCATGGGCACATTGACTGCTCCCTACCTTCAACAGGGACATGGCTTTATACTCATACTACAATAGACTGGATTTATTTGCTGTGATCTCATTGAATATCATTCATGAAGAGAAAGAGAACAAGCTAAAAATTAATGAAATTTCATCAACATTTAATATGATTTAAATATATCCATACGTATCTTGTTCCACATCAGCTAAAGGGGGCAATGTATCATCGCAGCCGTCACAGAAAACCTTGCTGAAAAATAGTGATGTTCAAAGCTGAACACCGATGAATAATTAATGTTTCCTGTTTTGAAAATGGAGTTTGACTCA